CACAAGGTCCTGTTTTAATGGTAGCTGGTCAGCCTCATTCATATGGTGAAGTTAGTGAAAATCCAGAGCTTGTCTCTCTCATGACAAATGAAGAGAGAGAAGCTTATATAAAAGTAGGACAAGAAATGTTCCAGTCTGTCTTTGAATAAATACTACTGTATGAATATGCAAACTTGTATAGAATGGGTGAGGGCTTCTTTTGAAATTAGAGAGTTTATTAATTTAACTTCTGTTCTTCAAAGTTTACCACTGAAGGATTAAGTTTTCGTTGAACTCCTTGCTCTTATGCATGATATAGTAATCCTGGAGTAGGTAACTACAGTTCAAAATTCTAGCACTGCAGGAAAAGCAAACCAAAGTTACTGTGGGTTTCCTACTGTCTTAATGCTTAGACTTTGTGAATGCTGTAGTTAGTTTTGGAGCATGAATCATTTCAATTTATAATGGGATATAATGATCTGAGTAAAATAAAGTATCAAAAGCAATGTTGTAATCTGTTGTAAGAAATCAACTATTCCACCTTCCTCCCAGAAGTAGCAGGTAGTTCCAGTGGTGAAAGTGAGCCAAACTCCAATGTGATTTGGTTTTACAAAACAATAGAATGCAGTGGTATGGAATGAGGTCAATCACTATACAACAGCAAGAGACAGGTCTCACACAGCAACCTCCCACTAAGGGAAGAGCTGTTACTAAATTGTGTTAGTTACAAGGCTGGAGTTGGTTCTCTCCCATAACTGATTATCTGAATTCTTTGCACTCACTGCTCTACAGAGTCTCTGAAGAGATAAACTGTGCAATGGATACTGGACAGTAACGATGTAACATTGATTTTAGTCCAGATGAATAAAGAAGCAAACAAGGCATCAGGCAGAAGACCCTGCTTCTTGTATCTCATTCACACACTCCCCTGTAGAATTGTTTTAAGCAAGACCTTCTCTACTACCTTTGAAAAACATGTTCTACTTGAACTGAACTACAGGAGTAAAAGGACTGGCATCAGAATAGAAGATACAGCTTAGAATTGCTGACAAAGTTACTACTTGAGCAATGGATAATGAAAATAGACTACCAGGGCACAAACCAAAACACAGGAGTTAGGAATGAATGTTAGGAAATACTTCTTCACTGTAAGGGTGACTGAGCACTGCCACAGGTTGCCCAGAGAGGTTGCAGAGGCTCCCACACTGAAGATGATCAAAAGCTGCCTGGGCAACCAGCTCGGTGTGGCCCTGCTTGAACAGGGGCTTTGGAAAAGATGACCTCCAGCAGTCCCTTCTACCCTCAACCACTCTGTGGTTCTTAAAGAAAGGGCAGAGAGAAAGTATGACCACAGAAATACCATTTGTTCATACACACCATCCCAGGGTAAGAATTCAAGAACAGTGTGTGCTCATGTTATTTCTTGAGCTTTAGAGTTTAATGACTTACCATATAAACTAGATTTCTACTTTAAGAAAATGTCCTCTTTTACATCTACTGAATGATTCTTCTGTGGAATTAGAGATTAAAAGCTTTCACTTTGTTTCATTTTCACAGATTTGCCTCTATCACAATGTATTTCCTCTATCCTTAAAATTGTAAAGTTTTTTTTTTCTGCATGCAGCATCACCATGAGTTTAAAGCCTGCACAGTAACTAAACTGTCTTCAAACCTTTTAATATACCTTTTCCTTTACCTCTCACCTCCAATCTGCCATTTCAAAATTTACTCATAAAACCTGGAGACTCAAGACAAACAAAAAAAAAAAAAAATCACAGTATAATCATACTCTCATTTTATTTAAACTTCAGGCATATTTAGGCTTCACTGGCCCTAGACTGTCTCCCACAGCATATAGCTGTATTACACTAACCCCAAACAGAAGACAATCCTGAATTTAAGATGACCATTGCTTTTTAACTACTTTGAGAAAAGCCTCGTCTTTAAGGTAAGCAGGACCTCTATAACGCAGCTATTTCTAGCTCAATTTTATGACTTATGTTATTAGCAACTCTGATCTGAAAAAGTAAAGAGAATTTTTGTTCAAATTTTCAAATCTACTTTTCTACAATCCTAACTGCACCTTTGCCATGAGACTTCACAAGGCGCTGACTTCTGTGTTTTTTAAACATTAACTTTAATTTCCTAAATTTCTTCCTTTCTACATGAAAACTCTTTACAAAGTCAAATACTTTAGGAACAGATTCTACAGGCTTTCAGTTGCAGCAATCTTAAGTGTTACATGTGAAAACAGTACTAAAATTTTCAGACAGGCTTATCCCTTTGCACATTGTAAGTGCAAAACAGAAAATGCAGAAAAATACAGATGGTTTCTGCAGTTAACTACAGAACCAGAGTATTTACTTCACCTCAGATAAAAGTGCTGATAGAAATAAACTCCACAGGCCATGAACATGAACTATTTTTTTTTTTTTTTCCTTTAACAGACCAGCTATACACAGGCTATAAAGGCAACATGTCTACACCTCATGTCTATAGAAAATGGAGAAACTTAGCGGGACAAGAGTCTCTTGTCCCAGGAAAGTTAGCAGCGCTTCTCCGAAGAGGAGTAACAAACTGCTATAAACATGCTAATGCTTTAAGTCAGTTAACTTCCAACAACAAACTCCGGATACCACTTCGTAAGCCAGAGGAAAATTTTTCAAAAGACAAATTTACAGACAAGTCCAAACTTTATTTAAAACTACAATTTTAAAATTACTAAACAGGTCACGATAAAAAATAAAAAAAAGATTAAGACAGAAAAAGAACAGTGCAGCAAACTGAATAGAAGAAGATTCAGTTCCAGCTGTTCAAACTGCCACAGGCAGAAGTTAGCCTACCTATCCTAAGAGGCAGCGTGTCAAGAATTTTACATTTTTATACACTTCCAGAATTCTGGGAAATTAGGGCTGATCTTCCATATGCATTTGTATACACGGAGTTTATAAATGCAGATATCTTCAGGTAATTCTCATGCACTTTGAGCTCCAAAAGTTTCTGTAAAATAAGAGTATACTAATTATTGTCTAACAGCTACAAGGCATCAAACACAGCTTTTGACCACATTTCAACTCCTTCTAAGTATCCATTAAAGCACCTTGATAAAATATGTCATCGTCACCTTTTTTTTTCACAAGCATTTTGAGCCACGGCTTACTTGACCAGTGACAGCCACTCCCCATACACAGATAAAGAATGGCTTAGTTGCTAGCTACCAAATTTGTGTGGCACGGCACTCTTAGCCTCAGTTCCCACACCAGGCATATGCATCAGTATTCACCAAACTGACACGACAGACTTTAGCTATGATGAGCAGAATGGTGACGGGCAGTGAATGAAATGGAAGAGGAAGATGCACCTTCCTTCACACTGTTCTGGAAAAATCCTGTGCTGTCACTACAGCTGCATTAGAAAAAAGCACTTTCACCAGCTCATACTCTTTGAAGAATTGGAACTAGCTACGCTGGCAGAAAACTACCACCACCAGAATACCCAGTTCATGCACTGATATATGCCATTACTATAACCCCCACTGGAGAACTATAAGCCTAAGAACAGAATAGAAGCCTCTAATACCGTAACTTGGTCACAATATCAACATATTAAAAAAAGAAAAGTTTCTTTGACCTGCATTGCCATGAAGTTTTTGTAGCCACATAAATACTGTTTCATGAAAGTGACAAATCTTTATTGCTGTCATACACGCTGAAAGTTTTTTTCTACTGCATGGTATGCGTCATATGAAAAATAATTTTCTTTTTCCTGAAGAGATATTTTACTATTCTGAAAAGTCTCTTGAACTTTTCTATTACAAGAACACTGAGCAGTCTGCCAGCAAGTTATATTGAGCATTATTAAATCAGATAATAGCAATTAGAATTTACAATATTATTAAACCCAAGCTTGTGTAACAAGAAACAAAATTACTATTCCATTTAGTAAGTTTCAAAGCCCATTAAGTTATAACATGCATTTTTACATATGTTAATTTTTATGACTTTATTAGCCACAGTATCTGACAGAAGTATATAGAAGGGACATGGGAAGCCAAAATTCCTTTGTATCAATACATCATTTTCAAATGCATGATAACAAAAAAGGATATTCTTTCAGCACCATGATAACTGCTTACTTCAATCAGTGATAACAAGATATTTAAATTCTATGCCATTCCAGAGTGTTTTCCCAATAGGTGCAGAGGATTTATAAAATAATCTTTACCAGGTTCTTTCAAAGTTTGGGCATCTCCTACTAATTCTTGATCTTGAGCAGCACCTCCATCCAGTAATTCATCAGACAAACTGTTGGTTTGGGCCTCTGTTGCCATTTTCTTCATTAAATCTGCCTTTGTAACAGATAAAGCAAAACTCAAAATTCTGGATAATTCTTGTTGCCGTCTAGATAATTAAGATATTTAGGGTGTGCACTTCTAAACAACACCCCCACAAACAATAGCAACATACCTCTGAATACACTGCAAGTTTAAGGGGCAAGTCTTCAACTTTCACAAAGTCATCTTCATCAGATTTTTGACTTACATTTCCAGAACCAGCTTCCTGTTAATAAAAACAATGACATTTAAGAGAATAGTGCTACTTTGTTTTATTTTCACTCCAAAACCAGATTTTTGACTATTATTACAAAGTACATGAAAAAAACCCAATGCCCATATCAAATTTGCAGATGAAAACTGAACAAGACTGGAAACTAGAAATAACACTGAAACAGAAAAAAACATCTAATTTCTCTTGACTGTATCTTAACTGAAATATACGCACATATTCATTCACTAACACAGGTGACTCTGTATCAGGGCTGCCAGCCATAGAGCTTTCAGAACTTGCAGTAGATTTGTTTCCTACACATGTTGTATCTAGTGTTTGAGTTTCATTTACTGGTAAAGATGAGCTTGATTCTTCTGTTTTCATACTGGCCGTCACAAAGGATTCTGGGGTATTGACTGTTAAAGGTGGTGCATTCTCCATGACATTGAGGTAATGAGGCAAAACTGTAGCCACATCTTGTTCACCTAAAATCACAAAACCACATTTTAACTAGGTAAAGATAGTGACAGATTCTAGCACACAAAATTCCCAGATTGTTATTATTATTTTTTACAAATTTTGATCCAAAACTACAAATGAGCAACATAGGTGAATTATAGTCTCTCATATCAACACAAAGCTGATAGAAATAAAACACCAGTTATTTGTACTCTCATACACTTAAGTATCAGCAAGTATCACAAGACAGTATGTGACAAAGATTTCTGACTTGATACAGCTTTTTAAAGAAAAAAACAAACCTCCACAAACAAAAGACACCAACAAAAAACCAAAACAACTTCTAGAACTATATGACCTACTGTAAAATAATAATTCTAGGGATAAGGAGATATAATACAGAACAATAAATTCCTTAACATTTTGCCACATTCTTGTGGCAACACGGGATCTATTCAAATATTACTTTTAGTCTGTGAAAGAAGACCAAGAACCAGTATTTGCAACAGAAAAACCACAGGATAAGAAGGTGGTAACAGTCAGATTAGATGTAACATTCATACCACCCAGTAGTGTTTCTGTCTTTTGACAGAAAATGATTTCTCAATTCTTAATCAGTTACAACACAGCATCACTCACAGAAATACATCTTTAAAATACAAAGTGATTTCAATTGCTAGTAAATGGTAGTAGCAGAAAAAAAAAGTACTAGACAAATCTAAACATCAAAATACTGTAACAGACAAATTAACTCTGCTACAGTTATGGGCCAAGGGCTGCAACAATCAACTGAAATTCATGCTGTTGTCAGGCATCAAAACCACATCTACTTAGGTAAGATTATTCCAGCTTTCCTCTTTAAAAGGTTGGCTGTGTCTATATAGACAGAGATATATCTAGTCAACTGATACGGTTCTGTGAAAAAAAAAAAAAAAAGCCCAGGAAACTCTTGCAAATTTCATCATCTTCCTCTTAATTACATATGTCACAGGCACTGTCCAAGATAATTCTCACAGTATACAAATTCATATAGAAGTGTTAATCTCTCAGCTTACCTTTATCATGAACAGATTCTTGTTCCGATGACAGAATCTCGCTGCTTTTTGTCTTACTCAATTCTTGGTTTGAAGTATGTTGGGGAAGCTGAAAACCAGTTAAAACAAATTCTACTAATCAGTGTTATAGCTTATTGGCTAATTTAATCTTCCTTGCTAACATCAAACACACCGTACACTTGCTCCACTTTTTTGGCTTCTGGCAAGTTCTATTCTCTATTCATCAGCACTTCATTCAATAACAGTTCAAGAAACTATAAACACTAATATGTGTGTTTTATCTGAACATTTAATTTTTTTTTCCTCACTACAGTAGTTCCCAGGTAAACTCTTTGGTTCCACTGAAAAGATCTACTGTTTTAGCCTTTAAAGTAAAATGTTCTTGTTACATCCTTGCTAAATGTTAATACCTGTTAAGTAAACCAAAGTTTCAAATGGTTCAGAAGTCAATCTTATTTACTGAAATGAAAAGGATTGACAAGTCTCCAGAACCAAGTCACACTCATCCAAACGTTTGTAAGTAAACAAACAGTGAAATGACAGTAGCAGCCAATAACATTTCACTGTTGTTCTAGAAAAAATTATTATATGATAAAGAGGAAAGACAAATCAAAGACATGCTAGAATACAAGAGTCAATGGCTTCTGCAGTGGAAAGCCCAATTAGAACTTGATGTCAGCAAACACAGACGAAGAACCAGTTAACAGTTTAAAACATGATGATTTTCTGAAAGTTTCTCTTTTCTACTGCAACTTAACGTTTTCTCTCTCTGCCAGCTGATTTAAACATTAGTTTTGGCTGTGTCCATCTGTCCATTTTGGCATCAGCTATACTAATAACAAATTCAGGTGGGGATTGCTACATTTTGTATGTAAGCAGCTATTGCTTTCATGTAATGTCTTCTATGATTCCTCTACTTTCATTAGTATGAAAACAGTACCACAAGAAAAACTGAGGTACATACAAACATGTACTTAAAAGCTGTGCACTGGCTTAGGTTTGTTCTGCATTTACAACTTTAGTGATACCTGTTCATTTTCAGTTGTTGTTTCGCTGCTGGCTTGCAGTGATGTCTGCACATCAACAGGTCCTTCCTCAAATTCTATTTCTTCATCTTCATTTTCATCTTCTCCACTGCCATAGTTAGTCAGAGCTTGGGTTTCTGCTTTTGATAAACCTGAAGGCACATCAATGTAAAACCACCTTCATATTGCACGTACATTTTGACAGAGCCTGACAGAGTAAAAGTCATGCTGCAAAATCCAAATCCCTTTTGGGAATTTACTGCAATGATCAGTTATAACTCTTACTTCAAACCATTCTTTGAAATTAAGATACAGTGATGACTTAACTTTCAAAGATCCACAAGCTCCACGTAAGCTAATTTATGAACAAACACCACTGTGTTGGTGTGAAATATCTAAGTTATTAAACAAGTTTGTGTGAAGAATGTAAATATAAGGGAAACCAAGCCATGAGTAGTTGATATAAGAGAACAAACAAGAAAAAAAAAATATTAAAAAGTATGCAACCTTAAGTATAAGCATATTAAAAACAAATCATTTAAATGAAAAACTGCATAAAATTTCAGTAGCTTTCATATCATTCAGGTTAAAGGTTGAGAAACCTCTAAGTTTCAGCATATGTAACTTAAACAATTAATCTGATTCTAACGTGTTTTTACAGATCTACTGATTACAAAGAGAAAAAGCTCCTCTAATTGGAATATTTAAGCCTCGTCACAATACTAGTAAATACCGTACTGGAAAACTTTCACTGGAAAAGATCTGACTAGAAAATCTGTGAGAGGTGTTACACAGCAGTACTTCGTGCAAATCCTGTTGTAAAATTAGTTGGTCAAGACTACAGGGAAAGCATTGAATTATAAGCTATGTAAAAATCACTTACTTATTGCCACTGGGCCGCTTTCACTTTCCTCATCTTCCTCTTGATCAGATGCATCAGACCTAATACTTTCAGGAGCTCCATTACCATTATACATTTCTGTGTCCTGTACTGGTTTAGCAGTTTCAGTCTCATCCTTGTCCTAGGAAAACAAGGAATACTGTGCAATTCCATGTTTATTTATCTGAAGATTGTTATGGTTTCTGCATCAAGGAGTCACCTTTTTCTCAAAGATAAAAAAGGTACAGACTAAAAATTAATGTTTAAGTAGTCCTTAAGGCCTTGAAATGAACACTGCAAAGCTACTCCTGAAACAGCGTCAGAACCTACTAGAAGAGACCATGCACTGTTCAGACACAGCTACCACGGATATCGTAACCAAGTATTTCATTATCTGAAAAGGTTCATACTGATCAGCATGCTAGCTTAAAAAAAAAAAAAAATTCTTTAAATTGGATTTGTCATTATCAAGAGGAAGAAAGACAGACCTGCATTATTACCTTCTAGTGACTTGTCTGCTTCTCCTAAACGATCTCTAGTAAAAATTAGGGATATTCCTAACTGCAGCTTCTCATTTCTTTAGCAATAGCTACTAAGCAGTTTCTCTGCTGAATGATTTACTAAATACCTTGAGTGAGAAAATTCTACTCAGTCTATATGAACCCCAAATAGAGCCCTGCTTTTGGCTCCAAATCTTGAGAGGACTCTTCTACACTACAGTAACCATCACAAGTGAGATACAGCTTCCCACTTCTACTTCCAAAGCAGTGTGAAGCTTTAAGTCCTAGAAGAAAGCACCGACTATGTCCATACATGCCTACAAGTATGCCTGTGCCCATTTAGGAAAGCATTCAACATTCTACTTAGTACATTACCTGTATCTTTCCCTTGGTTGGAAAAAGCTGAACATTCCAGCAGAAAACACAAAACTTCATATACAACCCCTCTTCTCAAACACAATTATTTTAGTGGTTTTCAAAACAAACTTAAAGAGAAAAGGGCGAATTTTGGGTGCTAACATTTAATACTCAGACTTTGACTCCGAGAACCTCAAATACCATAGAACCATAGAATTATTTAGGTTGGAAAAGACTTGTGCCTCAATTGTGGCCATCTGCCTTTCCCTTAAGATTAAAAGTAAAATGTCTTATTCCATACCATTGAAAATGTTAGTTGCTAAAAATATTTAGGCACCATCTCTATTTACTGTCCTTGTTATTTAGTTCTTCAACAAATGACTATGTTCTCAATGCTCTGAGCTGAGAATACATGTGACAGCCCCAGGTCAAATACCACAATAAACACCTTCAGAACAAGTCTTTTTTCTTTAAAAATACAGAAAATGAATACTAAAAGGAAAAGCAAAATCCTACCCTAAAAACTGCTTAGCAAGTATCACAAATTACTCCATTTCAGTTGCGTAGCATTAAATATAAACTTTGCTCTTTTTAGACTTCCAAACTGTCAGTCGTAAAGCAAAGCTCATTTTACATAAAGGTCATCAACAATACACAAAAAAGCATCTTTAATACTGTATCTTTGTTGACCTGAATGCACTTCTTGAAAGGTAACAAGATAATGTTTTAGAAGAAATACATTAGTCTTTATGCTGGTTAATGGCTCTGCACTAGAAACAGGGATAAAAAACCAAAAGCAACCAAGGAACTGATATCCAAGTCATGTTTACAGAATGCATATAATAACAAAGACTTATTGACAAAGGCAGATTTTTGGTAGTAATTTCCCACACCATAAACTCAAATTTAAAAAAGGGAAATTATAATTTACTTTGTTACTTTGATAAAGTAAATCACTGAAAATAAAGGGGATAAAACCAATGATGTTTAATAAATTTATAAACATTAAGAAATGGGCTGCTTACAGATACTGGATTTATATGACAGAAAACAGTATGACTAAGTGATCTGTGAAATTATCTGAGGAATAAAGACAGTTGAGAAGCATAAACATACTTTGTCCTCATCGACATCTTCAGCAGATGAACAAACATCCACCTGGAGACCTTTTTTTGCCTAGAAGAAACACAAACTGTCTTCAATTCTAAACTGAAATAACGTTGAAATACTGAACCAAACTAGGGCTTCATGAAACCCTGGTTGAAATGCCAGTCTTACCAGGAACTGCTATCTCAAAACAGCAGTAAGCCACGGGGACTTCTATACTATGAGAGATGTTTACACAGACGTCTTCAATATTTTAGAGTTCCAAAACACTACAAAAAACTGTGCTAGCCAGAAAGCTGTGATTTTCAGCGCGGAATTAAAACCAGTTAGCTTACTGAACTCAAGACAGCCACAAATATGTCAGATGTGCCTGCATCAGGATACCAGATCTGAAAGCTGTGAGAAGACCATATAGAGATAATTGTGTGGGCCTGTACAAAGTAACCAGGACCTACCAATTCTGGCTCATCCCTAGCTCTACTGAATCTGAACTGATGACACAGCAACAAGGCAAACATCGACCTTAACCCTAATTCTGTCTTCCAGGAGAGGAGAAGAAATGCCAGATCCAAGTCGTGCATTCCCACAGCAGCATATAAACCAATCCTTTGCGTAACAAAGACCCAATGAGCAACTTCCGATAAAATAGGAAGTCACATCCAAATCCTTCTGGATTCAGAGTGTTTCTCTGGCCTCTCTTCAAGGCCCTCTGCGGTCTCTCTCACACTAGCCATATTACTGGTATATCTAAGTTGAACTATCTTGATATGTCAATGATAATATGCTTAAAACTACTTACAGGACTTTATAGCTTATGACAGAGTCACGAAATAACTTCCATCAACATTTTAAAACAAGAATGAGTTAAGGGTTTGCTTTGGCATTTGTGTTTCTAAAAGAAAGCTGAAAGGACACTGAACTCATAACTATACCATACAAGAAGAAACACCAAGGTAGATACTTGACCAATTTAAGTGTCTGAACATGATCTGTTTCAGTGTTTGTTTTGTAAACAGCTCATATAACTTAAGTAGCTATGTCCCTAAAAACTGCAATACTAAAATTAAAAATGATGATGCAACCTTTTTAGTAATGTAAATGGTGTAAAAACCAAACAAAACTTGGTCTGTTAGAGCAGAGTATGTACTACAGTCTCAAATATTCCTGAAAAGTTTATATATATTTTACACTCAGAGTCTGGAAAAGTGTTACTTTCTATATACGCCAACAAGCCAACTATTTGATGACTTCATAGGACCTATTCATGTTAGGTAGAAATGGTGCCTAATTAAGCTACTACAAGGAAAGCTGTAGGCATAACTGGAGAGATGATGGACTGGAACTCCCATATATCAAAATATTTAGCTGGGATAGAGCTATATTTCTTCATAGTAGCTAGTGTGGGGCTATGTTTTGGACTTGTGAAGAGTGTTGGTAACACAGGGATGTTGTCATTATTGCTGAGCTGTGCTTTCACAGAGCCAAAGCCTTTTCTGCTCCTCACCCCACCCTACCAGCAAGTAGGCTGGGAGTGCACAAGAAGTTGTGAAAGGACTGACCCCAACAGACCAAAGGGTTATTCCATACCATATGACATCACGTTCAGCAACAAAAGCTGGAGGAAGAAGAAGTGGGGGGACATTTGGAGTGATGGCGTTTGTCTTCCCAAGTAACTGTTATGCGTGTGGAGCTTAGCTGCCTTATGAGGGTTAAATCACAACAACTGCTCAATGGCCCCAGATGTTATTACCATTTCAACACTTGACTATTCCTTCCTATGTGCACATAAAACCATTAAAACACATTTCCTCTGAATTACCAACAACAAAGTCTACACAATTAGATATCTGTAACACACTCATCTATAACACAGGAACATCTCCCTTACTAAGGAAAGCCAGTTCATGCTTCTACACAAGCAATACCGTGACTACACAGCACTAATTTGTAAAAAACCATATATACAATGTATGAACTAAGGTAATCAAAGTAGTTTAAGAAAAGCAGATATTTAGGAAACTCAGAAAAGCTGCATTTTTGAAAAAAGATAACATAACAAACCTCTTTAGCATAAGACTGTATCACTTCAGTAGTTTCTATTTTTCTTTTACATCTCTGCTTCACAGAAATACTGTTGTTGTCCAAGTCTTGCATCAATTTAAAAAAGGCTAGTTCATTAAATAACACTTCAGAGATCTCCACAAGAAGATCCTCCCCACAATCTTTTAATTTTCTACCAGCAAATTTCGCCAGTGAATCCTGTGAAGAGAAATAATTCTTCAGTTTTTGAAACAGGCTTTCAGACTTCAAAGACTAAGTATTTCTCATATTCCTAATAACTCAAAATTAGTTTAGGTAAATAACAGCTTGTAATTTTTTTTTAAATATGGTTTAGTGTCTCAAACAGATTTTAAGTAGAATCTTCAGTTGTTGCAAAACAACACTGAAAAACTACTAACCTGAAGTATACTGCCAAGCTGCTTATGAAAGAACTTCACAAATTCTTTACTTTCATCGTTCTGTTGTGTAAGAGTCAAGACCATACGTCTTACTGATGTCAGTAATTGAGAAGAACATACTTCATCCATGTGTTCCTAAACAAGTATCAGAATGAACTTGGTTACCACTTAAATTAGCCATCAAAACTCAAATACTGAAATTAATTTATAAAATAATCACCTGCCCACTGAAGGAACAGCACCCCATGAACAGGTCCTAACCCATCTCACAAAACTAACTGGCACACAGTTATAGCAGATACCATACTTCATTAATGACTGATTGGCCAGGACACACAAAGCTTCATGTCACTTTTCCAGTACATTAGTACATGCCACCTTTTAACATTTGCACAAACTAAGAATCTTCATCTAGTGTGGTGGTGTATTCAAGTGTATTAAAGAGTATGCTAAGATATCTCGCAAAGAATGAACAGTGACTATTTCTCTTCTAAAGTAGTACATTTCTCTTCTGTATTCAGACATTTACAAGCTCTCAACAACTTTAAAGATACTTGCAAACAGGAGAAAATAATGCTGAATATCAACAGCTCACAGAGCTATTCTTCAAAAATATCAAGTTACATCATATGTATCAGTTTTAATCAAAATTATCACAGTTTTCTTTGCTGAAAGGCAGCAACTATTTCAGAAGTACATTCTCCAACATTTCGATTAGATTTGGTCAGCTCCAAACAAAGAAATCTCTATTCTTCTTGATGTCAAGTCCAGCAGCCCTATGCAATCTAGAAACCTTACCATTTCTTTCTCCTATTAAAAACTCCACAGAATCTCTCTGTTGCAGTACTTAATCCTTACTTCATCCTCAGCAAGGTCTCCAACTTAACACATTTATAGGCAGCTGCTGCTAAAATGCATGTTATGCTTTTTAAAGAATGTTCTTCTATGCAATTATGCCAGTCCTTTTCCTATGCTCTTAATTCACACGTTATTGAAAAGAGTGCTTACCTTCAGAAAAGGAATGACCTCTTTCATAATTGCTTTAATCTGGCGGTCAAGCTGCTGAGTATCTATACGAGGACATGGAACAGCAGAAACTTCACTAGGCTGTGGCACAGCAAGACATTCACTAGTACTTGGACCTCATTAAAAAAAAAAAAGAACATTTAAGTCATTCAACATTACTATTAAAAAATGACCCATTTCAAACTCATGTATTTTCCTTTTTAAAAAATAAATTGTATTTACTTAAGTATGTAAAGATTCTTTGAAACTTTGCTAAGTTTTCAATGTAAATGAAGAGGAAAACAAGTCAGCTAATTAAATTATTCTTGATCTTTAGAATAATTATTCTCTAAAACTAAGCAAAATATGTATATATATGCATACCTTCTAATTTAGCAGCAGAAGCACCCTGAAAATTACTAGAGCAGCCCTCAGAGTCAAGGGTACTTTCAGCTTCAATTTTCATACGCTCATATTCCCTCATCCTAGCCAAAGCTTGATCTAAGTGAATCACTGTGTTGCCTATATTTAGAATAAAAACACTTTTTAACCTAAATAAAAAGTTTTCAATTGATAGACAAGTAAACAATGATAAAAATGAATTCAAAGCCACAAGTTTTAAAATCTACATATAACTGTAGTTGAGTTGTAATATTTTATTACACACTTTGATCAACTCAAAGTGTTTCACAAGTGGCTAATTTCTCTAAGTGATGTTTTACAAAACATGATTATACACTAAAAATCAAAGAACAGTATACTATTTAAGCATAGGCAATTGCAGGCATTTTAGGACAGAGGGAGTAACACTTAAAACACTGTAAATCACATCATTCTTACCAAGGTCATCAGTAGCAAAGGGTTCAAAATTTGAAGATGTTGACATAGTACTCCCATTGTCTGCATCATTTTGTTCACAATCTTGACATGCTTCTGTAGAAAAGTTCTTGCCAAACGTTTCCTAAAAACCACCAAAAAACTGAATTTCAGCCACATGCTGTGGTATCAAGACTTGTCACCAGGCTACCTGACTGGGAGACAACCTTACTTTCAGGATATAAATCCATCAGCTGATTCTACCATGTTTGTTTCAAATATTCAACTATAAAACACATAAGAAACTGTACGGAGGCATCAGTGATTCCTTAAATACAAAAAAGCAAAAATTTTTTGGAATCTTGTGATCAGTACTTGCCCTGACCTTACCCACACAAGAAGATATTGGAGTATCAGTTTCTGCCCCTCTTTGTATTCTACTCCTCCCTGACACATCACTCATTTCCAGCATCAAGAATCCTACTGTATTTAATCACTTTTGCATTAAGATTCTCTTGCATTTCTTTGTTTAGGAAAGTCTGTATAAGTTGATATTAATTTTAGAAAAAAACAATCGATTGTATGAGTATTTCAAGCATGCACGTAAATTGAGAAAATAGGAAAAGGAAAAGCTGACAGTAAACTAGCTTTTGAATTTGAAAACTTACATCATCTGTAGAAGCAAGGCTTTCACTGGGAGTCAGCTCAGAATTTGATGCCATCCATGTTGCAGAATTCAGTGATTTTGTGCACTTCTGGTTTTCGTTGTTCTCAGATAAATGTCTGGTCACTATATCCTAGAAAAGATTATAAATCTATACTGTAAAAAAGGATCTAAGATTTGTCTGATTCATATACAAGATCAAAAACGTTGTGCATACCTGTAAAGCATATAGAGCCCTTTGCCTCAGGTAATCTGTATTTAGCAACTGAAGCTCATGGAAAAGTTCAATAAGAAAGTGGGGACGAGACTCATTTTGAGAAATAAGAGTTGCCACTTCAGAATAAATTGTGTCTCGCAAAGCTTCAAACATAGAAAGATCACTACCAGTTTCTGCAGAGAAAAAGGAACTCATTAAGTCCTCGACATACTACCAGTTGAAAGACCTGCCTATTAGGTATGCAAGTCACAGGTACATAGATTACATCTCAATCGCTGTAGATTCCATTATATGGCTGCTTTCTTAAAGCTTACTGAAGGGCAAAGATTTAAACATTCCGAAATAATACTTTATGCAATCCTTTATATACGAAATAAAATATAAAGCATTCACAGGAATTATTTTCTTTACAGTTCTGAACAATACCTTTACAAAGTATTCTTTATTAAAGACTGTACTACACACACCACAACGTTGCTTTCAGAATAGGTATTCAACATTGAAAATGGAGTTTTGAGATATATCAAACGATAGCCAAAGGTCTCAAGTTTATATAACACAAGTAGTCCACACTTTTGCAACAGAAGCAACACCATTAAGAAAGCTCTAGACTGAATTAAAGAAAGCCACTCCTTCCCACACCTCCCACACAAGCATAAATCCTACATTCTCATACATGTCTAATAGCACTTCTGAGGCTCACAGAAAACCTCTTACCCTTAAGCCCTGCTACATATGTATGAGAAGACAATGTGTTCCCTAATAAGTCTCCCATTCCTTTGAAAATTAAGGATTATCCTTGCATCACAACAGTTAAATTATTACACACACTTATTTTGGCAAGTGTTGAATGGAAAAAAGTTAAATTTAGAAAACTCAGTTTAACAGATGCATATTTGTTAGTACTCAAGTTAATGAAGTTACGAGAAATACAGCAAGTGTTACTGTGCAATTGATTATCCGGAAATAGGTTACCAGTATTTTTAAGCATAGAGGCAAGCTTTTTCAACCTTTAATAAGCCACCAGGAATTGCTTCCCATCTCCATTAATAAAATGTAATAGTAGCTTTTAAACATACTGAAATTAGTTTTTTGTTGTAGTATCTTCCACTTGTAATTGTGACTAACCAAGAACAGAATAAACACATTCTCCACATTTATAATTCAAAGGAGTTTGTATCATTGCATTTCATGCAAATTACAAGTAACTTGTTTTGCCTTGTTTACAGGGAAGGTGCTACAATAGTACTAACTTTGAACATCTGCTAAACAGTCTGAGTTAAAGGACCAAAGCTGAGAGAGGGAAAAAAAAAAATAAGACATTGTTGAAGCTAAGCAGTGAATGCATTACCTGGCGCTTCAATGCATGCATTTCTGTTAGACTGCTGCAGAATTCTCCTAGCATGCGCTGTAGGAAAGTGGGGATAGACAGTGATAAACACAAAAATGGGCACCAGAAATAAAGACAGGGTCTATACAAAACAGCAGGAGGAAGACTGCTTAGTCATCCAAACCACATCAAAGCTGCTTACTGAGAGAACTTGACTGATAAAATTTATTACATATACCAATAAACAGCTCTTAGTGTGGACACAGCTACATTGACAAAGCTGTACATCATGCTACAATGACTAAAATTTCTGCATCTTTCAAACAAAACAAAGGTACTGGCAGAACCTAAAAAGACACAGAAGAGAGTATTTTTATGATCGAGAAGCAAGAAAAGCAGTGCAGATGTCAAAAATGTAAGGGTTTATGTGATGTTATAAGACTGAATTTGAATGATATTTGATAGAGTTCCTTTAAGCATGACTAGAAAGAAAACATGTATGCAGTACAGGATGTAGTTTAAATGCTAAACAAAGTTTCATCTGTTGTGCAGTTACTTTCTACAAGAACACCAACAAATGGGTGAGGTTTTTGGTTGGCCAGATTTTTCCTTGTTTTACAGTAACAGGCTTCTAAATTCTTTTAATCCAACACCTGATCTACAGAAAACACCCAAAAGCAATCGACACCCAACTTTTTACACACTTCTATGTTTACAGCATCCTTACAAGTTAGAAAGCAAAATCCATATGCTAAAAATATAGTATAGTCATCTTGTTATAATACGCTGCTTTTAAATAATATACTAGCAACTAAGTATGGAGGTCCTTTACTCAGCAAAGTTCACAAAATAATTACTGACATTCAGAAAAGAATACCTGAAGACATTTCTGTAGATCTACTGTATTTAATTATTTTTTCCAATTGTTCCCGATTCCGTTTGCTGAACACCTTTGCATGAACAACCTCTTCAGAGTGTCTGCTTTTATTGTTCTTGCAGGGTTCACACACACTAGAAGCACTTGCACTTTCATAACCTTATGGGAGGGAATGAAAAGGAAGAAGTAAAAAAAATAGCTTACAAAGTGTTTTATTACTTTTAAAAATTTGTTCAAGGTCAATCTCAAATATGCAAAACACCAATGATGTTTCCTAGCCAAAAATTTTCCTCTGTACACTGAAACCATACAGTAGCACTAAATGCCAAGTGACCACAACAGTACTGCATGTGCTAGTACTGTCCCTCTCTTCTCATTCAGTATTTTACTGAAGAACATCTGTCAGCAAGTCATCCAGTTTGAACATGAAGACATAATGAAGACAAAGATTCTCCTGGTGGCTTATTCCAAATTTTAGTGTATCTGCATTCACTACCCATTCAAATGACCATGTCGTAAATGAGTTATGCTTTTTATTTACTTAAATGCTAAAAAATATTATGTAATTACATTATGTAAAATAAATTAGTATTTCAATAACTTATTTTCGTTATAGGTACCATCTATGAGGAGTAAATTCTCTGAAGTGTAATGATTATAATCCAAGTTGAGTTTGCCATAGTACCCAAGATTATTTTACAACCTACCAATATTTTTACTTCTGCCTTTTATCTGAGAAGAACTCTTCCTCTTATTCTTCGATTTGGGTGTTTTATCTTTTGATGCCAAGCTTGCTTGTGCTGACGCTTTTCTAGATTTAAATGTCTTTGTCACAGTAGTTGGGTCTACTGGATCAGGCATGCTACTGAAACTCTCCAACGACTCTTCATCAAAATCTCTTCTCCTGCTCACATCAGACTGATTTTTATGACCAGAAGCAATGTTTTGTACTGAAACTGCAAAACCTGCTTTCAGCTGAGACTGATCATCTTTTTTTGCTTCCTGGCTATCATTAAGCCAGGCTGATCTTTTTTCAGTTTCCTCTTCAGGTTGTCTGTGACTCCTCCTGTCAGAGAGAAAGACAGCCCACAGTGTATCATAACCTAGTCTCAGACAGAACAGCTCAGTTTCAAAAAATACGGAAATGAAGTATTCCTCCTCCACTTACAAAATGTATCACAAAAACACTCCAACACTGTATTTGATCTTAAAATATTAATGAAATGATACATTAGTTAATATAGAGAAAAGCAGAACACTTTAGTGAAAAAAGTAGAAAAATTAAACTGGAAACTGCAGAAGTAAGCTCATCTTTTAATTCTATTATTACCTAGAAGATAAATTCCCTAAAAGAATGATGAATTCCCACAAGCCCCAGAAAAGGGAGGAGACAGGAAGGAAAAATTATTTAAGGAAAGTTATGCTGTGACATTAAATACCTTTGTTTTTCTGCTCCATTAGAGGAACTGCTTTCAAAAGGTTTGGGGAATGCCATATACTCAGTTTTCCCAGAGGCATTATGATCTAGAGGATGTTGCTGCTGCTCACTGCTGTGTGGGGAAATAGTGTGTGCAAAATCTCCAAACCCAGAAGGGAATACTGGATTATAGTTAATACCTACAACATAAACAAGAGAGTCACAAGATACAACCTCATTTATCTGTGTGATAAAAGTCAAATTTGAGACATATTGGGTGGCAACATAAAATTATGAAGCAAAAATACAGTAGGGAAGTAATCAAAAAAATTTTTCATCCTGAAAGCATTGCAATAATCAGAATTTATCTTAAATGCAGGTTTCAAACATTACTGAATACTATACATGCCACTACAATCCCATCAGTGGAGAGATGAAGGTACTTCAAGAAACCCCAATAAAGAGCTCTGACAAGTGAAGGTAAAAATGACATCAGTTCCAAAAAAAGCAAAGTTCTGTCTGCACGAAGACTTTATCAATACTTCACCGACCATCAAACTGACAAGAAAATTCCAGCAGTACAAGTATTCATAGGGCCAAAGTAGTCATAAATTCATAATACTTATTTTAACTTTAGAATCTTCACGGTAGGGACAAATTGAACATATTCTTCTTCTGTGCGAGTTCCATATAATTTAAAAGCTATCCTTAAATAGAAAACAGACTTTAGAATCTGAAAGCTACAATCTAGGTCTGTGCCTGTTTCCTGGTTTCTTGAAAAAGGGTGAAATACATTATTAAGACAGCTTTAACAACTTCTAATGATACAGTAAAATACTGACTTTTTTTCCATTTCAAATTCAACAGTAAAAGTAGATTTGATAATGTGATTAGGAACACTGTATCCAAGTCAACAGTTACTCTATACCTTTGATGGGAATTAAAAATCAGTAACGCACTCCATTTACAGGTCTTTCAAACAAAAATGAGTACTGGAAGTTCTATGAAAAAGAGAAATAATTACCAAGTGCCACCTTAAAATTAGAGGGTTCACTTAGAATACTATTAAATGATTGCTGAAAGTATGTAAAAGCTTCAAATATTGCTTTTCATATGTCAGATGAAGAACATTTAAAACATTAATTTTTATGGAGTGGGTATTTTTGACAATAACCAACTTCGTATTGAGAAAGTCTTGCTTTTTATACTGAAGTCAAAATATACAATCATTCAGCAATAAACATGAACAGACTTCTGCTAGGATAATATGGACTCATTCAAGTACTGTTTAAGACCATTTCAATAGAAAGAAAAAGTCACAGTTTCAGCAGGTTCACATTCAGATTTCAGTTAAATGAGGGAACAGAAACTTTTGAAATTCTTACTACTTTTCACACCTATAGTAATACTCACCTGGAGCAAAGGAAGAAAAATTAGTAAAACCTGGTACATTAAACAGATTCACAGGTTGTGGAGGAAAGCTGAATGGACAGAAAACAGGAGATGGAGGTGGTGGTGCACTACTGCCGCTCTCCTTTCTCAATGGCTTCTCTTGACACTGTTGTTCTTCTTGCTGGCGCATAAGATCATTCAACATTTGTTTCAACCTTGAAAACAAGGAAAAATAAGCATTTGGAGAAAACAAAAGAATGCTAAGGGAAAGCTGTAGATTTGAGACTCATTATTTCACCTGCTTCGTGTAACATATGTTAAAAACTGCTCTGTTTATCTAGTTAAAAAAAAACCCTCAAGAAAAAAAACAACTTCTACTTAATCCTGAGTGACAGACAGGAACCTTGCAACAACAACAAAACAATTACTAGATACTAAAAAACCAAGCAGGTCAAAAAGGAAACTTAAATAGAAACAAAGATACAAAATATTTGCAGAAGTGGCATTAAACTACTTTAAAATATATTAAGAGGCCAGTAACTATACATCACTTACCAAATACAAAACAGAGATAAAGAGCTTGAACCTTCATGCAATGAATTAAAATGACTATTACATCTGTTTCTAATAAAGATCGCTGTTCAGAAGGTTTTCCAAATGGAGTGTAAGCATAAATTCTGACTGACAATACTAAGAAAGGCCAAAAAGCTTTTCCACCACATTTCCATAACCATTAGAATCCAGAATCTTGCAATGTAGTCTAGTAAAGACTACAGACATAAAAGCATATTCAAGGAAAGTAAGTCTAAACCAAAACCCAGCCAAATAAAGCCCTCACAGCAGGTTTTTGGAAGAGATGCAAACTTTTGGTTCTCTTCACTAAAGATTAATCAAAAAGAGCCATCTCAGAGGTGTTAAAGCAGCAGTGAAAAAAACAACCAAAAATGCTGTACATAATTTCAAAAGCTTATAATCAACTCAGGAGTTCAATAGTCTCATATTTAACCATTATCTGTAATCTCTTATTCACATAACCATGTTCTCTGTTACTGAAGCATTTCAAATTCCACAGTCAAACACTAATACAGCCAACAAACCTTTGGACATTATTCTGCTGCCAAGTCAGTTGAGTGTAACACTGGTTCAACTGATGCATAATAAGATGTACTTGTGAAGATGCAACATTATTGGGCATCATATTGTAAGGGCCTGTAAGCAAAGTCTGTAGAAGACAAGAGAGGGTCTGTGGAAAGAAAATACATGACAGTGACCAAATTGCCAAAACCAGACAGTATTGCTGGAAAGATTTAGACAGAGAAAAAAAAGAAGGAAAAAACCCCACAAAGTAAGAACAGCAAAGTAAGCGCTCTTCATATTTACCTGCTGATCCTGCATCAAAGTTTGACAAATGCTGACACTAAATTCATGCTGTTTCTTCAACTGATTGATCTGCTCTTGCCACTGTTCCTTTTCTTCCACATATGAAAGTTCAGACATCCACCGAACATTTTCCTGACGTCGCATACTTATGTTTTGCTGTTGCCTGGCCTTAGACAATGGACGGTAATTCCCATCTGCTGAAAGAGGACGGCAATTTTTCCACCTGGGTTGGGGAAAAAAAGGAAGAATAAAGACAAAAGCTGACATTTCAAACAACTACATCTCTAATGATACTCCCATTATTCAAATTATGTTTCAGTTGTACATCAACAATTATCTTGGCACAGGCCATTTTAGCATGCCAGCAAATCACCCATGTGATTTTGTCAATCCAACATTATCCTAAACAAATGGAAAATAACAGCCACCCAACTAACAACCACTGTCAAAAAAGAACTGCTAAGTATATTTCTGTATCTTGTTTTTAGTATCATCCATTACTGGTACATAATATGCACTCAGATGAAGAATAGTAGCCACCAAGAATATGCTACGAATTAACAGGCCCAGCTCCTGACCAGAAGGCCATTATCTACTAAAATTATTTTGGTATCAAAACCAGAGGAAATCAATCGAAGAGATATACATTACCTTTAACATGGCATTTTCATTTAGTCACACAAAGCTTATTAATGGAATCAATTAGGTAAGTGAGCGCTAAAAAGATTCACGTTAATTAAGAAAAATCTAGTAAGAAATAATTTTCAAAGCCGTAAAAGCCAACAATTTGGAAGCAAAAATTTCAGAGGTAGTTTAATTCTCTGAATCACTTTTTTTTGGTAAAGAGACTGATTGATATCATGGCCAAAATTTCATATAGGTTATATTTTAAGCTGATTAAAACAACATGGGAACATAAGGAGCTACTGCAACACAACTGGAGAGCTCAATGGCAGACAGTTAATATGACTGAAAACAGACGAAATAACCAAATTAATTTCATACATAGCAGTTACAGAGACTCAGACAAGAAAGTGCCACTGCACACAGCCCCCGGCAAGCAGAAAGAAATTCCACTTTGCCATAAAAGGATGCCTTTTAGTTAATGCAATGCTTCTTCCACCCCTTCCAAATATACTCTGACAAGCATCAGATCAACAGTTAATGCCACTAACCTGTCCTTGTTTTCTTTAACAAAATATGCATTTTCTGGTATGTTGTTATTGGGATAAATAGAGAAACTGTCATTCAAACTTGATGCATCTTCTTCCTCTTCTTCTGCCTGACCAGCTCCATCAGAGAGATAACCGTCTTCATCTCCATCCTCTTCATCTATTGCACACTGGGTAGAACCTCCCCACGTAGCCATTGTCCTAGTGAACATTGGAGAAGAGAAAGTGGGCAAGAAAAAAAGGACTGTTTAGGAAATGAGTACTTTTTCTCTAGTTTATGACAAAGTAAAACAACCTGTTGCCAATTACAAGTCTGTCTATCTTTATTAATCAAGCTGCACCAAAATTAATTTAAACATTTCACCAATGCAAAATAAAACTAGTGTTCTTCTGATATTAGGACAGTTAAATAAAATTACTTATTGTTTTGGAAAATTATTCCTTTCCTATATTGTTATAAACCGTGTCAAGTTGAAGAAAAATTACTCTGAGCATTTGGCATTTTCCACACATTCTCCTTTCATTAGGTGAATTTTCACCATTTATAGAGCAGGGGAGACTAAATATGCTGCGAAGACCCATAAAAATGGCAAGCTGCCAACTGACAGTCACTTTAGAAGTCAAGAAATTAATTTACTCTGTTATACTATCACATTCAGTGCTCAGATGAAAACAGAAATGGCCCCAAGACTGACATCTGACTAAACAACAGAAGTGCCCACGGACTAACACAGGGTGATTCGTGCTCTTACTTTTCAGTCCTACTCTGCTGTGGAGTGCGCTGAGCTTCTGATCCTTCACTTTTAACAGATGCAGCAACAGTAGATATTGTTTCTGCGAGCTCTCTCCTCCTCTGATGTTCAGCCATTAAAGCTTCAAGTTGCTTTCTTCTCTGTCGCAATTCTTCTCTTAAAATCTCATGTCTTCTCATCTCAGACCATAACTGTTTGCAGTAAAATGGAAGACATTAGAATATAAACAAACTAAAAACAATCTAAAGCACATTAAAATGTTAGTATTTGATACTACAGTAATACCTTTTTTTCCGGGCATTGGTATTATACCATAACTGAAGCCACACCACAGAATGCCGAAAATACATCCCATATTTACTATTTATCCCAAATACTGCAAAATCTAAGAAGGCAATTAATTATTAGAGGACAGATTTTTTTTTTTTTCTAAGAAAAAGGGCACGTTTCACTCAACAATGTTTTCATCACATGATTTATGCATTATTAGATAGATCTTTAAGTAGTCTGACAGAATACTACCCTCTATAGAAATCTGAAAATTGTGCCAAGTACTTCTTTAATAACAAAGTAGAGGATACACCAAAAAGATTTTCTGCAACCTGCAGAAGCTTCAAGTTGCAGTGTATGTTTGAACAAGACTTAATGAAGCCATGATTTACAAAAAAGGCACATAAAGGGAAAAGGCCTCTTTCTACCTGTACCTTATCTACCTTAAATTAGATGCAGAGAAAACATAAATGGCAAGATACTTTTACAAACATGTAAACAGCATAACATAATAGCATAAAATACAAAAACAATTCTGTATGTGAACGAGACTGGAAAAAAAGCAGATTTAAGAGAAACAGGCGAGTGACAATGTACTTGAGCCTGAAAGCAACCCAACTAGTTGGTGGTGCTGGAGCTAAGAAGTTTTCCACCAAAAATCTGCACACGTTTTGATAATTAATAACCCAACCTGTTTGTAGAGTGTTAGCAATTGCACTAGCACATTCGTTTTAGAGACAGTTTCTTTTTAGCAGAAAGAATTCAGACCATTTATTTAGCGAAAAGAGACAAATTGTCCTATAATGCTTATTTGGAAGATGCCGAAGTTCTGAAATTATCTTCTTGGAGAAGGAGACTTTGGCTTTTAATGACAACAGTACAGGCATTGCCCAGTTAGCCTCACCTAAACTATTAAAGGAAAATTTGCAAGCATGCTGATGCAACTCACAAAGTCTATGAAAAAAAGTATTTTTCAGATATTAGTTTTTTGATGTCTAGTCTAGCCAGGAAACAGTTTTCATCACGTATCCCTCCACCCCTACAAATGCTAGCACAATTTTCAGAAAGACTAAGTAATATCCAGATCATTATTTAAACCATGAATTTTGGGGGGAAAAGGGGAAGGAAGATGTGTAGAAGATAAACAAAGTTTCAAATCCTGCCATCATTTTCTTCATGGATGACTTGCATGTGGTATACACTGTCAAACATACACAGTACAAATCCAAATTCATTCAACTTCCACGTTAATATTTAGCAACAACTGCTATATTTGGGAGAAGATCTCTTGTCAGTTCAGGTCAACATTTACTTCTTACCAGAAATGAAACGAAGTTACACACATTTTGTTAAAATGGCTACTACTCCACTCCCCACCCCAAGTACTTAAAAATGTGTCCAAGTTACCTAGACTTTTTTCATTTTAAACCTTTTTTAAGTCACAGAATATTAAGTATGAAATACCTCATTGCCTACTGGTACAGATTCATCAAATTCAAGTAAAGGCTTGCAAGCTGTGTTACACTCATTCATGGCTGGAGTTGAAGTTGCTGGTGAAGTCTGTCTATTTGCTGGGCAGTTAACCAGGCCAGCTGACAACTGAAAGAGAAAGCAAAAAGACAAAATAGAGTAGAGCAGCTTTCTAAAACTTACCTGCTGTTAAAACCCAACACAGTTCTGGCTTTATGAGATAGGAGAATCCCAGTGAAAAGGGATTTTCAAATCAAGGTTAAATCCTTATCTCAGAACTTAACCAGGAATCAACAAAACTTATTTTTATATAATATAGTATTATATTGTATTGTGTTTGTGTGGCAAGGTTTTGGTAGCAGGAGCGCTACAGGGGTGGCTTCTGTGAGAAGCTGCTAGAAGTCTTCCCTGTGTCTGCTGCCAAGGCCAGCCAATCAGTGATGGTGGAAGCGCCTCTGTGATAACATATTATGGAGGGGACCCACACTGGAGCATTTTGTGAAAACCTGCAGCCTGTGGGAAGGACTCACATTGGAGAATTCCGTGGAGGACTGTCTCCCATGGAAGGGACCCCACACTAAAGCAGGGGAAGAGTGTGAGGAGTCCTCCCCTGAAGAGGAAGGAGCGGCACAGACAGCATGTGATGAATTGATCACAACTCCTATTCCCCTGTCCTCCTGCGCTGCTGGTGGGGAGGAGGTGGAGAATTCTGGAGTGAAGTTAAGCCCGGGAAGAAAGGAGGAGTGGAGGGAAGGTGTCTTATTTTCTCATTATCCTACTCCAATTTTGATTAGTAATAAATTAAATTAATTTTCCTCAAGTCAAGTCTGTTTTGCTCGGGACAGTAATTGGTGAGTGACCTCCCTGTTCTTATTTCCGCTCATGAGCCTTTTGTTCCATTTTCTCTCCTCTGTCCAGCTGAGGAGGGGAGTGACCAAGTGGCTTTGGTGGGCACCTGGCATCCAGCCAGGGTCAACACACCACATATAAAATGCTGTAGATGCACAGTATTGACAATTTACTGCTCACTTCATCGGAAAAAAAGTTTGTCTTCAAAGAACATGATAAACAGTACAGCACTGTGCAGTTAAGTTTGACTACAACAAAGTATTGATCATGCTTACAAAACACAATGCTGTTTCAAAATACCAGACGCTGTGACTGACTACTAAGAGGAGTGAAGATGCAGTGACTAGCAGGTATGGACAGACAAATTTTAGGCTAAAAATAAGAAAGAAGGTTCTCTATCTTTAAAAGACTTTAAATCAAGGCTTTTGAGGACAAACTACAGTGAAATTAGAACTTAACACAGCAACCACTGAGCAAGAACCTATAGTGGCATGAGATAACCAGAGCTCTTCTCTATACTTAGAAGTCCAGCTGCTTACAATACACAAGTATTACCAATTTTCTTTTTTTTTTTTTTTTTTTTTAATTTTTATAGCAAAAAATGGTGTGAAAGGTATTTTATGTTTTGTTGCTCAACAGCTTAAGAAAGCAAAGAAATACATTCTACCTACTTGAAGGTCAGGACAAGCTTTCTGTAACACTTGAATTTTTTCTTGAATTTCAATCAGTTTTCTTCTTTCTTCTTGTAACTGTTTAAGTTCCCGTTGCTGCTGCTGAAGTTTAGCTTCATAAAACTTCTCTCTGTGTAAATAAGTTATCCGCATATTACTTGGCAAGAAGTTGCTTAAAGCATGATTCTACCGGCCCTTGAGAAAGGCATACCTTGCTTTTTCATTCAGTCCTACATCTTTTTGTAACTTGTTGGTACTAGCTCGGACATTGTTCGGTTGTTGCTTCGTCTCTTCCATCTCACCCAAAAACAAGTCACCAATATTAGATGCATTTGCAATTGTTGCTTGAGGCTCTGGATCATCATCCTAAAAGGATGTCAGAAAGGCAGTTAGACTATTCTCAAGCTGATACACAAAATGAAACAAGTTTAGTTTGTCAAACTACTTTTTCAAAATTAAACAATCTGAATAGCTTTGTCTTTTGTTCAGATCATAAACTGAGAAGTCATCATCTTCATGGCATCATGACTAAGATAAATTAAGTTAATGAGAAAATTTCAAGTTATAAAGCTCACACTACTAGAACTTCCACAACAAATGCAAGATAACGTGTCTCATTCTGGAAGCATAAACCACTTGAATTGTATTTTATGCCTGCAACTGAGCGAGAGAAACACACAGGCACGTCAAGAAACAAAGGGGGAGGCAAAAAGAGGAACAGGAGACTGAGGTGAACAAGACTGCTTAATTACTGTAGTCATGAAGTTAAGTATTACTATTAACAGCTTAAAATAAAACCAAAAACTGCTCCTGAAAGTTAATTCTAAAATATTTTAGAAACAGCCTTCTACATAGTTCTATATTCCACTTTTCTTGTTTTCGTAACTTTTGTATTTTCAGTTCTCAAAATGAAAATACTAAAGCTGTAGCCACTGCTTCTTTTGTTTTCCTGCATGATCATTCTTAAGACAGAACTTGCTGAACAGCAGAGATCATCAGCGACCAAGTATGACACAGCTATGCGGACCTACAGTACCATTACTGAGTACATGCAGATACAAGCCTTGTAAATATGAAGGAAAGATTGAAGACATGCCATTAATTATGCTATTTATTAAGGAAGCTGCTGTACAATCTCTAGTTCTGATTTATACCACTGTACAGTTAACCTTTCTACAGTGACGATAAAAACAAGGCTGATCAAGATACCGAGAAATTTTTGATAGCAGTATAATCTTGAAATTACAACAGAGTGTTTATACTGTTGCTATCGTAAAACGTACGTTCTGAGATTGATTTTAGAGTTCTCACATAAAGCCTTTACATTTCTGATACGCCTATGAGTATTCAGTACACAGACATTACATTAGATAGTGCTCAAATGTGAGTATTCTGTAAGGACATTAGATTCATGAAAATATACTTTTAATAAACACCACTACATTAGCATGGCATATTCTAAATTAAAAAGTCAGTTCATAGTTGGCCCTCAAGACTCAAAAAAAACCCCCAACCTCCAAACCAAAAAACAACCACACACCTCCCAACCCCAAAGCAAAATACCCCAACTTGAACACGTTGCAACACCCTAAGACTTTAATTGAGAACAAGTAGTTTTTCCTCACTGATTGAATGATGTTGCAAAACTTAGGATTCAGAAACGAAAACTTGGGAATATTCATTATAAGCTTAAAAATGTAGATTGGTATTATTTAAAGAAAAATATTAGACTTCTTCATCTGTATTTTGTAATCCCATGCTAAAGATAAGTATGAAGGCCATTCTTCTGTTAGGTTAGCAATCTCCCAAGAGAATTCCAAATTTGAACTTCAGAAGTATCACCCTTGACTTCAGAAAAATCAAACTCTCTCTTTTTCCCCAGCCTAAACCCAACCATTTTAAATGTTACATTAAGCAGAGTGGTTTTCCCTATTAAAACTTACACATTACATGAAATAATGAATGCTAAATTTTTGTGCACAGATTTATATTCTTAAAATAATACCTGCACCATAGCAGCAAGGTTTTGTAACTGTCTAAGTTTCTGTTTTGCAGCTATAAGCCTATTGATCTTCTGCTCAAACTCAGCATCTCCAACAGCATCACCCAGGCTGCTTCTGTGACTAGACAGGGAATCTTCACTAACTCTATCTTCTTCCACATCGTCATCTTCAGCTTGGGGTAGGTCAATATCTTTGGCATCCTCCCTATTATGACAGTCTGGAGGTGGGGAGAGGAGAAAACAAAACAGTACCAATGACACATTATTGAACTTCTGAAGTCCGCTGTAATTACTGGACATTAGAAAACGATCAGCTTATTGATTATACTCTTGAACATTTTGCTTATCAAACAAGGTTCACCCAATCTGTATGGCTATCATAATTATTTGCGCTAAGACTTAAAATTACAGAAGATTTTAGAACATACCTAGAGTAGAAGACATTTTTAGAGTCCTTATATTAGCAGCAGATCGGTTATTTATTTCACAGTCTGTATTAAGATGTCTTCCATCTCTGTTATTAGTTCCACACTGTACATTTGAGTTGCTATTTATTTCACTCCAACTACTGATTCCTTGAGGGTTTCTAGGGTAAAGTGCATTATTCATGTTAACTTTTTAAGAAATTATATTGATGGAATTTTACTTCAGCTGTTTTATTAACTGGCTTTTATGGGACTGTGCCCTGACCCTTAAAAAAAAAAAAACAAACAAAAACCAAACCAAAAAAACCCAAAACAAAACAAAAAACCAACCCCATATAAAAATCCATCTAGACATTCAGAATTTCTCAGTATCAATCTCTCCAGCAGATTTTTTTCTTAATTGCTAGATCTACAACAATACAAGAGGTTTTCAAGGTACATGTCTGTATTATAAAATCTTTGTAAGATTCATAGCTAAATTAGTATTAATTTCTGCACAGTGAAGATCCTTGATGCACACAGTTGCCCTGTTAAGAGTATAACTCTAAATGCCTCTCTAATCTGAAGTTCGTTTTTATTCCAATTCTCTAGTCTAGGCCTGTCAACCTTCTAGTGGAATTCCATATGCATAATTCACTGCTTAAACCCATAGGAATTACAGATTTTGAAGTCTCTTATAGTGATTTTCTAAATTTCCAGTCTAATCTACGTCTGCTACATAACTAAGCACAAGATTAATAAGAATCATCTCTATAAGAAATCTACTTCAAATTAAAAATTTTGTAAAATTACTGTAATCACAGAACTAAGTTAATTCTGGTTGACTGAAATAATGTATTGCTTCAGAAAATCTGTAACAACTTAGCAAAAAGTATGACAACCTAATATTTGTAACAGGCTGTGGATCCTCATGTTCAGAATCACTTTCTGATTCTTCTGTTTCTTCCTCTTCCTTAGTGTTTTCATTCACAGCATCTGTCATCATATCAGATGTTTGCTCATAATAGTGAACTAACTCACGTAACTCATTCAGCCTCTTACGAACTTCATTTAGCTTCCTGAGGAGAAAAAGAGAATATGCTGTGTTTTGTCACATTAATCAAATGTATGTAGAGTTGAAAAGTACATATATAATTTATAGTTCTTAAAGTTTACTGCCATTTTCCTAGCTGTAAGAACCTTCTGCTTGAAGCTCTGAACTCTTAACTGTCTTGGACCATTTACTAAGAGGTCTATAATATTAAATTGATTAGATTAAAATATGAAATGATTTATTAACACATAACTTATTAAAAAATTAACACTCAAAATCACTAAAGCACGTCATGAAAAAACCAAAGAACATTTACTGAAGCTTTTCTGTTGGATTTAGATTGTCATCCTCTTCACTCTCATTCTGAGAAACCAGGGAATCAGGAGGGTATGGAGCAGATGCAAGGCTATTTGATTCGCCATTGACAACAGTTACTATGCCTACAGGACCAGAGGCAGCTGAAGTTGTACTTCTTTGGTCAATGCTTCTTTGAGGAGAACCTGAAGCAGGAAAAACTACAGAAAAGAAATATAGCTCATAAGAACAACTTGCAAAAAGAAACCTGCTTAACTGTATTAAAATGCTACTACAGAAAATACTACCAACATACAAAATAACAGTTAAAAACTTCTTTTCTTAGAAGAACAAAAGCTTTTGTCTTAAGTTTCATGGCATGCAATGCCAATAGGCAGAGGGCTTCTGTAAAGAAGACTTCATTGAGTTCCTTATAGCTTTATCGAACTTCCAAAGTTGAAGCTTTCATGCTGTGAAACTGCCCAAAGAGTTCTTTTAAGGGTTTACTCACTGGTGAATTTCTTTTTTTTGAAATTTAACAGTTCAACATAAGAAAAATCCTATCAATTTTTTCTTCTGCTAAGCTCTTTTGTCCATATGCTATAGGAAGCAGGCTTGATGTTTGTTTTTTCCAGCTACATGAAATTATACCCAAATATGTTCATATTATATGCATTAAGTACATGTAATAGTACAAGTGTCTCATTTCTTAATGTTAAGGAGAATACGCTGTGATCACTCCTCAGAAGTTTCCAGCTACAGAACAAACTTCACCAGTACAAAAGTATTTCTAGAAACAGAACAGCGGGAACAGCAAGTAGGCCCACATCAAGACTTTCAGAAGAAAAAGCCATCTAGGAAACAGGCCAAAACTCTAGTCCATTCAGACAGTTAAGTTCCTCTGGTACGGCCTACGATCGAAGTCCCAGCGCCCAGTGCGTGAGAAAGTCTTTTGACAGTGGATAAGCAAACCCCATAATGCCATAAAGCTACTGATATCTGAAGTGCCGAGTACGTAACTACAGATGTACTGTGATACAAATACAGAAAGTTCAAGTTCATATGGTACACTCCACAGATCAGATGTGTCACAGACATGCAGTGAAGAAAAAAAATCCTGTCATCACATCCTCACATTAGTCAACTTTGATAATGTTATAAACCAAAGTGCTACTAGCAAAAACTCATGACTATTTGCAGAGCTCTCCATTAAGCCAGAAACTTATACAGCATTAAAAACCATTTACATAATATTGTCCCAGCACAGCTCTATCACCTGCATTTCATTAACCAGTCGCAAGTTGAAAGACCTGAGTTACAAACACACACATTAAAAAAGTTGCATTGTTGAAAAGATACAATTCAGCCTATATTTACTTACAGGAGGAGTTATTTAGATGTTGGTCACGAAGCGTATGAAGTTCTCCTAACAATTTGTCCATTTTTTGCTTTTTACCCTGCAACATTCGCATCTTGTTAAAAAGCTGTGCCTTCTCATCTGACAGGTGTTCAGACATTGAAGAGTTTCTGCTTTGTGAAATCTCTCTGGTAAGTGAAAGACTTTCTGCTTGCCTTCTATTATCTGGTACAGACTGTGTCTAAAAAGAATAATTTCATTTTATTCAGATTACTATGAAAAAAGCCAAAAAAATTTTAAGAAACAAAAAGACCTCTTACAGGCTTGCTAGACTCAAGGCCAGAACAAAGAACATTATAAAGGGAAACTGATGCTGAAAACACTCTCATGTTATCCCAATTATATATTGAGTTAATATATAATTATACTGCAATACAGAAACTACTTCTCTGGACTTCCGTGGAAAACTGTGAGACAGAAAGCATAGATCAGTCACGTAATAACTCCTAAGAACACAAAGATGCTGAGCTTTCAAGTTTGAGGGAACCCTAATTACCCCACTAGCAAATACACACAAATAAGCAAGACAAACATTTAACTGCACTGTTCAAAAGAATAAGAAAAACAAACAGTGGCAAAACTTACACAGTGCAACCCAAGGACTGACCTGAGAATCATGAAGTTGGTTGTGAAAGCGTTGAATTAAGTCATTCAATTCTTCATTCAGTTCTGATGTAAGGCTTACTCCTGAAACACTACCTGTGGTCTCTGTTACAACTGGGCATGCAGAAGGAGGAAAAAAGGTAAATACCTTTCCAAAGTGATGAAATAAAGGCTATTAGATGAAAATGTTTGGTTTAACAAGAACATCAATATACTGCACCTCTTAAAATACAGCAATTATTTTTGAAGTTGTGCCCTTCCCATCAACTTTACTCTTGAAAGATTACTTCCATTACAGGAATGCTAACAAGCCAACTCACAGCTCCTTTGTAAAGAACCATACAAAAGGACTGTAAGTCTGTTCTGGGTTTTACTAAAAAGGTTAGAGCAAAATAAAAACAACCAAGTTGTCTAGGGATGATGGAAACATTTTGCTTGTTACAAACAGTTGTTATTACTTAGTATAGCCAAACTAAGAACAGTGAATGTAATTTTACTTTCTTAAAATAATAAATTAACAGGACACCAAGCTTTCATCTTGGTATCAGTTGTAATCTTTCCAGCTGCAAACAGAGCCTTGGGGGGTTGTCCTTCAAAAAGCTTTATGAGAGGAATACATTAAAAACAAAGTTTTTTTCCCCTCTCTGAAAGCTCAGATTGAAACAGTATTAAGATACAGAACTGGCAGTTGAGAGATCCAAATAACTTTTCTTTTTCCCCAAATATGAACCAACACTTCATAAGAAAAATCAAGCACAAGTATTATTTATTTGTTACCTGCACAATAAAGCTTTACTATTTTTAAATTTAAAAGCATTTATTTTGCCCATGTGAAATTTTAATCTTTACTTTTCCTACCCTACAGTTCTGGTACATACCACATCTTTAAGTTCACACAAGCAGCAGTAAGAAAGTGTTATTAAGAGTGACATAAGCGGAAAAGTGAAACATAAAAACAACACCGAAGAATTAAAAAACCCAAAGTTCTAATTTATCATAAACAATCGTATTTTTCTACCCACTTCATCTACCCACTCCTCATCAAGATGGGAGTTTTGTATATTTGAGGAAAGAAGACAAAACAGATGCCAGCACAGGTCTACTGCTATGGAGCAGATAGGAGAAGCAATTACTGAAAATCATTTAAGAAATAAAGAAACACCTTTTGAAGGCACTTGCTTCTCTTGCTCCTGTGGTAGCTTTCTAAAAGCTCTCTACCTACCAACTTCTCTGCTTCTCTCCTACACTAAAATCTAGAGTTTTCTTAACTAGTTCCACCTTCTTTCCTACAGTCTATCAAATCAAGGACAGGAGAAAAAGCCAGAAAGAGGAGTTCATCAGAGCAAGGAACCTTAATGAGAGACTTTTTGTAAAATGTAGAAACCAATGCTTTTATTTCTACAAATGAAGCTACCTCAAATACAAAACTTAACTGTAATAAGAACTGCTACCCCCCTCTAAATCAAGCCTAACGACAACTCTTATGGGGGGAGAGTCATGCAACAGTAACAGACTGAATCTGAACTTGCTCAGTGCAAAAACATCATTCCCTACGACTGCGCACATAACTGTACCCCATTTCCACAGAAAACTGACCAGGATTTAGGGAGGGGTGGGGGGCAGGACAAGTTTCCAACAAACAAAAGGTAAAACGTATGTCAACAGTGCACAAAGCAAGGACAACTGTCTCCCTTTTAAGACTGAACTCTTGAGAAAACAACTCTGCTGACAAGCTTTACGCAGATATCCAAAAGAAGTCTCTGTCCCAAAGATAATATTTAAAAATTTGGGAATATATAAAATAAAATTAGAAGAATGCTTTTAAACTGAAGGTTATCACATAAAGGTGGTGCTCTATTATCAGAGTCATGCCCCCAATTTACATGCCATAGAATTTCAGAGTTCTAGTTTCATATTTACTTATGTAACTGCTTTAGCAACTTCCTCCTTTCTGTTATTGGATGAACCATTATTCTACCAATGGCTATTAAAATGTCAAGCAACCAGCAACCAAAAACCCCATGAAAAAGCAAACAAAATCTCAAACTACCAACTGCCTATAGCCAGAATGATACAGAAAGGGAGAGAACACTTCGTATCCCTCACGCCGATTCTTTCCTTCGGAGGCCTGGTGCAATGATGGAGATGAGGGGCAGACTCCTAATCTGATGTCATAGACCAATTCATAAGAGAAAATCCCACACTTTTAGGATTTTAAAGTAAACCACAGAAATCAGCTGTGTGGTTTTTAACTGACACATCATTTTACAATGTTACATTGTCAACTCTTTTCAGAAACAGAAGCCTTGCAGTAAAATTTTTAAAAAGTGTATTATAAAAAAGATTTTTTTAATGTGTATTCCACAATTCCAGCTTTAATCATTCAATAAGCATGCTAACATACTATCAAAGATACTGTCATTCCACATACCAGAATCATCCATGACAGCAATTGCTTGCTCTGCTTTATGTTGCAAAGCAAGAAGAGCTGCCTGTCTTCCTTGAAGAGCCTTCAATTGCTCCTGCTGTTGTAGCATCCTTTTCAATAAATCATGCTGCTTCTTCAAGTTCTCCAACTCCTCTTTAGCTTCCTGTTGAGGATCTCTGGCCTGCAAGATATGGAAGAACATTACCAGAATCATGACAATTTATTTGTTACTAGTGACAAAAATGTCAAAACAAGCAGGACTTCAACAGAATTTTACACTCAACAGCCTAGTGAGTGTAAAAAGGTGAAAATGAAACAGCTTCACCTTTCTGGTAGTCCCTTTCAGTCTAAAAATTTGAGACATCCAGTAGGGAGAAGCCTGTACCACCAAGACATGCTTACCACTCCTGGGGGTTAAGTTTTCTTTAGAAATCCAGTCATCTGCCCTAACATGTCCCAGAGACTAACCCCCAAGTATCCCTCTGTCTTTTGAGTCATAAAAGAGGGCATTAAGCGGTAAGACTGGTAAAGCTCAGCAAAATAAGGCATAGTATCACAGAGCTACATATAATAGAAGATCTAGATTGATTTACTGGCCTAAAAATCTCTACAGTTTCAACAGAACATTTTGGGCAGTTATTCTTCTCTAACCTATAACGTGTTTAATTTTGTATGCTGTATTTATGCCATAGATACTAGAATAGATCAGATTTAGGTAAATCAATTTCAAAACAAAAACATGCACAGAACCACCATGTACCATGTTTTTCAAACACATAGAAATAGATGTGAAGGAATGAAAGCATGTTGGGCAGTTAGAATATATTAAAACTAAGTTATTTTCCTCATCCTACCATAATTAAAAGCTGGAGACTTGCCTCAAAACTTTTATTCAAGGATTGTCTGCAAATCAAGTATTTTAATGAGACATCCACAGTTAAGATCCTCATCCTGTTTTAAGTCGAATTATAGCACTATGCAGATGAAACCATGGAAAAATTTGCCCCCTTTTTGTTAGGAGTTGACAAGTATTTAAAAAGAACATTACTAACTTAAAAACATCATCTTCTCTCCACATAGTGCTGAGTTCCTTAAGTACAAAATTCTCTAGGTCCAAAAATTCTGCACCAAATGTCGGATTAGAAGCAGGCATCTTATTAACTAGTTCTGGGTACCAGGGAACGCTCAACTTTCCAGTAGAGAAAGGAGAACACATCCAGTATTCTAAACTTCTCAAATTAACATCACTAAAACATGCGCTGCAACTGGCACTGATCATTCCTCTTAAATCTTCATCTTATATATAAAAAGCAGAGTAGAAGCAAAATAGCGTACACAATGAAATCAACACAGGATGGAACAGAGGGAAGAAAGGGAAAAGGGGAATGTGTCTCAGTCTTGCTCACCCATTAAATAACACAAGCTTTATCCAAAGCACCAGATTTGCTTGAGTTCATTAAAATCATGTAACAAATTTGTCAAGCTTAGTTCTACATTTAGACTAACAAGCCTGACAAAACACTTAAGCCTTTTATTTTGGGGGGGGGGAGGGGGAATCAAAATTAGACTTTTTTTTTTTTTAAATCAGAGACAAAGCATTGAAAAGCTGGTAACAGGTAACAAAAGTAGTTTTAGACTCCAAGCCCCTTAGTCTTCCCCCTTCCAACTAAGTATTTATATAAACAGCTATACAAAAACATTTGTGGAACAAGTTAAGGCTACTAATCTCTTATTTATTTTCTCTATATGGTACTAGCTTAAATTTGCATTGGTAGACCATTGGCGTAAACATGACAAGTGTCTCAAAGTCACATTTACAGTATTGTTTCCCCCAGAAAGAGAACAGCAAAACTGGAAGGATCATCTACATAAAATCAGAACACCTGCTGTACAGTTACATGTAGTACTTTCTCTGTCAATGTTGGCACTTCAGAAGAGAAAGTTGTCAAACATTTCTATGTAAAGAAAAAAAATTCCAGGCAAAGAAGATTAATTCAGTGAAAATGAAAAGACAGCTGGATACAGATAAGCAGGCCAAATGGGAACATTCACTGTAAGTTACAAATACATTTGAAGCGGTTAACAGGAGAAAGAAGAAAAAAAAAAGCAGCATGTATAAACCCTATTTGAGGGTAAAATAATATTTTGAAGTGTACCTTTGAAGGCAATCCATGTTCTTGGCTATTAATCCTACAAGGCCAGATTTCCCTGTCATTCAGAGCAGCTCTGTCACTTTTCCCTTTAGGACTTGCTGTAACATCAATGTCTGTAACCTGTTCCTGTGAAGCTGAATTCCCTAGTTTGTCCTCAATGCGGGGCCGAATGCTCAAACTAAAAGATATCTCCTTTATTAAATAGTTGAGTAGGTTAGATTTTGATCATGTGCTCCAAATTAGTATGCATTTTTAAGTTACAAACCTACCCACTTGTATCTTGTCAAATAATGAAAACTAGTATGGAATAAAATCTAAAGAGCAAAGACATTTTTATTCATTCTTAGACATTTTTATTCATTCTTAGAATTTTCTTAACAATAAGGCTCCATATAGCAATCAACCTGATATGAAGTATTCATTCTGCATGTAATATACTGAAAGCTGAGCATAAAGAGAAATTAGATGCAAAATGAAGAGCCAAACATAAAACTAACACCCATTTTGCAAAGATGAAGAAAAACATACATTTATGTGCATACTTAAAAACTGTACTGGTCTTTTTCAGCATTTTTTTTTTTTTTTTAAGTTAAAGGTACATCTTCCATGTCTATTTTATTTCTTTACAGGGACAGAAAGAGTTCTTACAAAGCTAAAAATAATTACAAAAACTTCGTAATCTTTTAACTGCTCTTTTACTTCCAAGCATGTAAGTTCTCTTCATCTGTAGAGCATTCAGAGTACTAACTGGCTAAAAGAGTACCAGCTCTCTAGTACCTTTCCTCAGTATAGCAGTATTGGAAGATGTAAAACATAAGTTGCTATAAGATGCTTTTGTACGTACTGCAAGAATTGTTTAGCATGTCAATATAAAAGCTTTTATAAATGGAAAGGAATCTTCCTTTCTGTGTATCTCAGAACTAAATTCAGATCACATTTTTCTAAAAGGTGCTCATTTTTCCAAAAAAAGGAGAGAAACTTGTGTTAGGTCAATACTTCCATCATATTGCTAGAAAGATGCTTGGGCAATGGCCCACTAATGACTCATTTCTAACCTTCTCACCCAACACCATCAAGTTTTCCCCACTACAAGAAACAAACTTAGAGATGAAAAATTGTATAGAAAACTATTCTTTCCTATATCAATCCAGTGCATGCTCTGCCAAAGTAAACATTTAACCCTTCATTCTATTTTGCAGAAAAAATATTTTAAAAAACTAATTAAGACTAATCAACTAAATGTTGTTGTGACAGAATCATTACTTTTTCCCCATATAAAAAAAAAAAAAAAATCTACACATGCACGAACACCTCCTAAACAGAGTGCTGGGGGATTTACCGTTTTTTAATTCAACTGCAGATTATGACACTATCACAACAATCATGACAAAACCAAAACAAACTCTTCATTTCTAGCACCTTAATTACTAAAAGGCAGCTTACCGTAGTATCTGAAGCCTCAGACTGCACATCAATGTTTAGCGATGTGCTCTCACCTACAGAACCAGATCCCACAGCTGAATCTACAGTCCGAACATCATCCTCCTCATTTTCTCTAGCCTGAAATATTTCATTGGCATAAATCAAAAGCTATATAAGGGGGCAGTAAAAATGAATCACGGAAGGTACTGTGTATCAAAACCAACACCCCCAGTAGCACCATCAAAACATCAATGGTCAACTCCTAAAAAAGCTTACAGTGCAGAAACAAATATATTATGTTCTCAAACTTACAAGCATCTTTTGCAAAAATTTCAGATAGGATTTCTCCTGCTCTTTAAGGTGATCTATAAGGTGCGATAAACGCTCAACATTGGCCGATCTTTCATTTTTCTCTACAAGATCATCCCGCATGGAGCTGGCCTTAGCAATATAGTCGCGAATTTGAACTAGTCTGCTCACAATCTGTAAAGACACTGAAATTACTGAATGCATTCAGCTACAGCTTAAATGTATTTAATAATGCACAAGACATGGTGATAGCAACAGCAAAGTAGTAATTCAAGGGGTGACATACCAGTACTTTCAATCCTATAAGCACACTTCTGCAAGTGGTTAAAGGTCAACAGCTTTTATAAGCATAGATTTATGCATGCATGAAGTTGCAAGGCTGAAGCATGGGGCTTCTCATCAACATAGGCTAAAACAGAATTGAGCTCATAAATATATGAAAATATTAAACTGTGAGAATATTTTCTGTATAAAAGAGAACCAACCTCTAAGATGAAAATTAATACTGCTTCTGTTACCAATAAGCAGATTTCTAAAGAACAATACATGATTAAGTTTGGTTTCACATTTTCCTCAAGTTGCCTTTTAGAACAGTGGGAAGAAAAGCATTTCCAATGAAGATCTAAGTTAATACTTTTCAGAAATTTAGAAAGATGCACTGAAAAGTAACGAGGTAATTAAAACCCTTCCAAGAGTCAATAGTCTGTAGACTTTATAGGCTATATAAATACCTGGCTACTATCCATAGCTGGTTCTCCCCTTCCATCTTCATGAGCAGAGACATGACAATTTTGCAAGAAATCTTTGCTTAGAGCAGCTCCAAACAACTCTTTACATTGCACTGATGCCCCACTTTCCTTTTTCTGGGAACCTGAGGCAGGATCTTTGCTTTTGTTAGTGTTTATCTGCAGTGACAGGAAGTTGAATGGTTTTTTGTTTTCATTAAGTTGACGTTTGTTGTTAGCAGCTGTTGCCCTGCCTTGAGAATCACTTCCAATGCTTCTCTATAAACAAACAAAAAAACAAAACAATCGCTTTATTTTTTTCCTCCGATACATTCTCAACAGTAATTAGCTTCACTGTTTGGATAACCAGTTCTGCAGTATTATTATTAGACTGATTTTGAAGTTACATTATTAGTCACTGACTAGCCAAAAGCTAGCTAAAGACAGTGCCAGTGACTTTTGTCATAGTTTTCAGGAAGCAAGCCCACCCTCCCAGAACAGCTGAGAAGCAAAAGGATTCTGCAGTTCCTCAGAGCTTAGTTCCTCATCTTTGCTGTGGCCTCCACCTTTGATATAGTGAAAGGCATCCTACTTCGCCAGGTACAGTCGAGAGAATAACAATAATAAGAGAGCAACACATTCACTTGCAGAATATGATACCTTGTAACTTATAGCAACTTGTTGCCGCAACATACATTTGGGGAGGAAGTTATGCCCAGTCTTCATATTCTAAGTCAAAGCAATGAATTGCATTTGAAAATCTTCACAATCCAAGCACATTAACAACAAACTTCAGCAAAGATTAACAAGCCTCTATTCTGAAACTGTTAGCACAAATTTATGCCTTGTTACCAAAGAATTAATCCCTCATACTTTTAATTGTTTTGGACAAGGGAAAGATGCCATCATCCCAAAGAAGCTGTTATGGCTCAAGAATTCATGCCATACATTTCTCTACACTCTACTGAAGAGCAGTTTTTAATGCTACTCTTTTGCTTAATCCACAAGGATAACAATGTTCAGAATCACAAAATGTCACTTCAGGAATGACTTCGAGTGTCAGACAAGTATGATGAGTAAGAAATACTGATTGGAGGACACAGGAATTTGTAAATGATTGAGAGGAAGAAAGTGAAGACAGCTAGTGTACTCTCAAGCATAGGAAAGCCATGGTCCTGAACTTCGCATAATTTTCTCAAGTTCAAAACCAGAATTTTGATTTGGCTCCCATGGTGCCTATTTTTTTTTTTTTTTACCTTAATCACTTACAAGAGCCTTCTTTATTCATCTGTTAAATTATTAAGAGATAGCTGAATAAATTTCGTAGTCTCATTTATAGTGGGAGCTAGTATTCGCACAAACCTGATCCAGATCACTGAAGTTTATTCTTTGTTTAAGCCTTTCTAGCTCAGCCTGCTCTGGAACAGACATCTGGGTCATGTATCGAGCATGAGGAAAACTATGAGGAGTTCTGGTCTTCCGTCGTCCCATTCCAGGTGAGGATTCTGGAGATATATCATTAGTAAGCCTTGTTTCAGCTTCCCCACCAAGCTTTTTCTTGTTTTTTTCTGAAGATCTGTTTGCTTTCTTCTGTTGACTTCCCCAGTCCTTAATTAAGGGGAAGGAGAGGGAAGAAAAAAGTCACATTTGTTATCCACATATAGAAAAAGTAAATGTTTTAATTCAGTGAAAGAGAGTTTACTTCCTTTTTTATGAGTAAAAATTATGAATAAAGGATGAGAAATATTTACAAGTAAAAAGTTTTCTAGAGCAAACGACACATTACAGAATATAATTTTCTCCACTGCATAAATTAAGAACAGCTTGTCAGGAAATTTTAAACCCATTTCATCCTACAATGCATTAAATTCATTTCAAATGAAGCTAAAATTGTATTTTTCTTCTTTGTTGAAGACTCTTCAGCAGTTCAGAACTTTTAAAATTAGAGTTTTCACTGTCATGACACCTACAACGCTTTTGTGTCTAGATACTTTATTTACCCCAAACACTTCCCATAAATACATCTACAGACTTCACCACCTCTGAATTACACTCATTGCTTGCATCTACCTCAATTATTTTTGTTGGTTTTGTGGATGCTTATCTGTAAAGCTGTACTGGTAAGGTTTAGGGTTTTGCATTGTTACCTGCCACTAACAGAATCTACTCGGTAATTTTAACATACAGCATAAAATGACAACTGAAAGATAAGATTAATTATACCGTGTTGTTCAGCCGGTCATCAAGGCTCTCATTGCTCCAGCTAGGCAAGTCCTGATCATTCATGCCTTCTTCAAATGGACCACCTCCTGTTGCCATGACAAGCAATCAATAAAAAGAACCTAAAAGAAATAGTTGAAAGAAACAAGTTTATTAAAATCAGTCAATGTAGAATATTTTAAAGATTTATAATCTGAGATGACAACTACATATTCATTATAAAATGCAAACACAAGGCTATTTTATGAAACTAACACCCCTGTTTACTAAACCGCATTACTAAAAATGTAGCAGTGAGAAGAACAGATACTTGCATTAAAAATTAAACAAGAAGTAGTTGTGGGTTTGAACACACTATATAGTTCTTGGAAAGACTGGTTTGTGATTCATAAAGCCTGCACTTTTGTGTCCAGGGCAATGTCTATTCGAGACATTAAGTGACTTTGGAGATCTAGCATATCAAACTTTCACATTTATTTCAATACTAAGATGTTGACAACAGAGCACTGAAGGGGATACTTGATACAATACATGGAAAATAGACATCAATAAAAGGCTTTTTACTTTTTTTTTACTACAGTTTTAAGTTATTTAAGCAGTGAATGCCATGCCACTTATAGTTTCTAGCAAAACCAAAGAAAATAATTTGGGTTTCCTAGAGCTTTGCTGCTCTCTAGTATTGTCATCCTGTGCAGTATGAAGCAATCTATATATTAGAAGTTTTCATTTTCACTTCTAGGTTTGACATTAGTAATAAAAAAGTTGTTTAAGCTGAAAGATCAGAAACAAAGTATTCCTTTATGGCAGTAAAATTCGATTAGCCTCTTCAAAAGGTGAAGAATACGTAACTGTATATACTCTCAGGCTGCAATAAAAACTGTGTAGCCTAAGTGCTGCTGGCACAATTCCACTGTACAAAGCTACAAACCTTTTCTTTATAACAGCTATGAAGTTCTGTTACACATGTAGAAGAAAAACAGTCTCGCGAAGAATTACTTTTTCCAACTAGTTTTAACTGCTTAAGTTAGGACATGATCCTAGCTCTATCTTTAACTGAAAAAAAAAATTAAATCAAAAAGAACCATTTACTTCTAAATGTTTTACTGCAACTTATCTACTATTAATTTTCACACCAAGATTTGCCATAGTGCAGGTGAAGAAATCACCTAAAACTCAAGATTAAGAAGTATCTAAGAAGGTTATTTTTTTAATAATCAGTTCCAGAAAAAAAATAATCCTGAACTAACTTTAAAAGCTGTACTAGTACACCTATCTTGCTTAGGTATAGTATTCAACCAAAATCACACAGTACAGCCCTCTCAGTAGGTGCACTTGCACAAAGCAGTATTTTTATGCAAACACAGCCTATTACCATACCATTAAGGAAATGGGATCTACCAGGTATGCTCATCATACCATAACCACATCTCCACTTGGCAGTGTACCAACATCAGTCACACTAACACAGTTAGGAGTAATTCAGCTTCTGTATCTCAAAATCAGAATCATAACACAGATATAACTAAGTGCCTGCTACTTTGGGAACTGGCAGATCTGTGCCCTACCGTTCTTGCACATTCATTCGTACTCCGTTCTTTGTCCCAACAGTAGTGTCTACTAGGCTGTGCAATCAGAGGGTACCATCTATAAACTAGCTAGCCAACAAACAAAACCAAAATTAAAAAAAAACCCAAACAGATGAATTCTCAACTGCATAAGCTCCCTGATCTGGCCAACTTTATGACTATATAAGAACTATCTGTAGGGTCAAGGAAGGCAAATAAAAGCTATGTCATCAGGAAGAGCGAAACCCAGACAGATCAACTGTAAAACCACACCTTCTGTGTTACTTTCACCCAGGTGAACTGTCAGATTTATTTAGAAAATAAGAACACAATGCCCTTTCACAGTTTGTTTTCATGTAGAAGCACAAGCATCCTATGAAAAGTTCACAGGTAAGCTCTCCTGCTAATTCAAGGTAAATTTCACAAGCACTCAAAACAAAAGTACAGTTATCAGAAAAGAGCTATGTTTTGTAAGAACTTTCTTCAGCTATGGATAAACTGTTCAGCTTCGTAGATGTGCAAGAGCCAACATTTCAACTTGTACTCTATCCTGACATATGCCACTAAGCATAATGAGTTCATCTCAACAAGATTAGAGGCCATCTGGGTTTACAGTTCAGTTCAGTAAGCTGTTTCCTCATCATCATGTTATATAATTTTACTAAAATGATAGCAAAAAGATGATTTTCCCTACCGTCTGCTGCAAAAACAAGAATCAGCAGTATTCATCTTAACAACACAAATAAGTATTCACATTTATTTAATTTAAAACTTTCACAAAAGTTATCTTCAACTATCTTTCTTGTAGGAGTCTCTGATTACATCTGAAGTAAATTCACTGCCACAGATGGAATATGCTGAATAATATTGTCAAACAAGAACACTAGGCATATGCCAATGCACTCTAAGAAATACAGCTCAAAAATGATAATGCCCAGGTTATTTCCAGCAAGCAGATTTTAAAGTGTTCTAACAGAACTGTGCCCTTCTCAGAGAGCAAGTTTCTAAAGATTCATATTATAGTCTTTGATATTTCCGAATTAGTTATATTCAAGTGAGCTAAAGATCACAGAGCTATGCTGATATTCCATCCCTTCAACTCAAAGACACAGAGGTTCAGCCAGCTTTCTCCTTAGAGATGAAACTCTCCCATATGAAGTTGTGTTTTTCACCTCCACACATACACTTTTTACACTGATTTGTATTTTTTCTTACTTTTGATTTTACCAGCTATTTCCAGAAGAAATCCTCTTACAGAAGCTTTGGTGTCCTCCCCTTATGCTATTTCTGCATCCAGCAACCTGCTACCAATCTCAGTTTCTTGCACATTATAGAATCTGTATAAAAGCTCTATCTGAGCATGTGCATACTGCCTTACAACATTTATCAGGGACTTGAAAAAGAAAACACTTTCAAGTATATTTTCTGCAGAAAATAACAACTTAAGATAACACGTAAGACTGCAGTCAAAACATATATGTGTAACAGCAATATGCAAATTGCTCAGAAGTATCACTACAAAACATGTTAACAAATCAAAGATACATATTTTTAAAGGATTTTTTTTTCTACAGCTGAGTTGGTTTTGCATTTTTTTTTTCCCTAAGGCATTCATGTGAACTGCAAGAGCTCTGAAGAACGCTTGATCCTGCACATACAAACTTCTGAAAATTAAAAATGGAAACCAAAAAATTGTAAAAAGCCAACATAGAGCCATAAAGACTGAAAATGGGATCAAACATTTAGGTTTAGCTTTCTAAGACACATGCTCCTCACTGAGCATTAGTTTAGCATTAACTCGTGAAATGCCTACAGAGTATTGTCAACCACACGGTATCGCCAAATAGGAGCAGACAAGGGAGCAAGTCCTCTCTCGTTGCACCGGACAGCCCTCACGCGAGCAAGGCGCTAGGGGAACTGCAAACTCAAGCACCCGGACCACGGCAGGGATGCCCAGCGTCGGG